TTGGCGGACACCAATTGTGCGAATACTGACACACACCGGGCGGACACCCGGTGTGAACATGCATTACCCTCACTCTCGCAAACGGTGGACGCCGTTCCCGCGAAAAACTCAGTAACGGAATACCTACTGGCGGACACCAATAGCGGGATCAATTACACCGAAANCAGCACGTGTGGTGTCCGCCACAGTCTTCGTGGTGTACAAGGCAGAGCACACACAGCCCCGATTGGCGGACACCATTCGCGGAAACGACCGCGGCACGCAAGCGGTGGAAGCCGCGAGCGTTGTCGGTAAACAAAAAAATACTGGTGGACACCAGTAGTGTGCAGAAGGACATACACAGGGCGGACACCCTGCGTAAGAATTTGTCAGTCACACAGCCCCGATTGGCGGACACCATTCGCGGGTACGATACGGAATTAGCGGACACCATGACCGTGTCAAAAGCTTTCCCGGGGGCGGACACCCCAGGGGGAGCACTGTTGGCACGTAGGGCACTAGCGGCGGACACTGCTANCCCGGGGGAAGCACTGTTGGCACGTAGGGCACTAGCGGCGGACACTGCTTGGGCCGCTGACATCACAGAAGTAAGGCGACATGATTGCGGGTCGATTTCAACGACTTCTCACTTTGGGGCGGGGAAAGATCCTTCGGCCCTAAAGAGTCCAAAAATACAACCCTGTCGAAAAATTCAAAAACTCTGACCGATAGACTTGAGGTACAGAGAAGCAGACTCGCGTCAAGCACACACTCACTAGACGAGAAGCAATGTATCATTCGGAAAATGGCGGACATTGGTAGTGATCTGGTAAAGCTCCACGATGGAAGGCTGGGAGACGTCGCGAGAGGAATCGGCGGCACTTTGGTGTCACCGCCGTTGGACGTGAGCGACGTCAAGCAGTATTTCGCAGAAGAGAAGGGCTTTCCGGGTATCGACGACCTCATCGNGATTTCAACGACTTCTCACTTTGGGGCGGGGAAAGATCCTTCGGCCCTAAAGAGTCCAAAAATACAACCCTGTCGAAAAATTCAAAAACTCTGACCGATAGACTTGAGGTACAGAGAAGCAGACTCGCGTCAAGCACACACTCACTAGACGAGAAGCAATGTATCATTCGGAAAATGGCGGACATTGGTAGTGATCTGGTAAAGCTCCACGATGGAAGGCTGGGAGACGTCGCGAGGGGAATCGGCGGCACTTTGGTGTCACCGCCGTTGGACGTGAGCGACGTCAAGCAGTATTTCGGAGAGGAGAAGGGCTTCCCGGGTATCGATGACCTCATTGAGATAGTCGGTGAAGGAGCCCCGGCCCCCACTCTAGACTCGCAGCAAAACCTTAAGAAAGCCTTGGCATACGGCAACCACCGTAGCGTAGACGAACACCAAACACAAGTGTGGGAAAAACTATGCGACGATGTCAAGCGATACAGGTGTATCGTCCTGAGAAAGGCGAACGCGTCGGACGTACGTGGGATCAGAGTAGCCCCGTTGGGAGCGGTCCCAGGGAAAAAAGTGAGGATCATCAACGACTTCTCTTTTGACCCAAGCAATAGTAAGGGGTCAAAAGGTGGGCTNTGGCATACGGCAACCACCGTAGCGTAGACGAACACCAAACACAAGTGTGAGAAAACTATGCGAAGATGTCAATCGTAACAGGTGTATCGTCCTGAGAAAGGCGAACGCGTCGGACGTACGTGGGATCAGAGTAGCCC